CAAGCGAGTTCATCCCTTTTGATTTTCTGACTCCACCTCTTTGCACATTTCGTTATAAACTTTGCTTTGTCTTGCTGAGCTACATTAAGCAATTATTTTTTTATTTTGTAAAATAAAATGTCTACAAATTACTGAATGAAAAAACCATTGTAATTTGTAAAATTCCACTCAAAAAATTTTTTAACTCAGTTTAGTTTCTTTACATTAACATAGAGAACTTGAAAAGGAAGTCAAGAAATAAAATGTCATATACAGTAGCTCCCAAATCAGATAAACCTAACAAGGATGTAAAAGATCTATACAATGAAAACTGTGAAACATTACTGCAAGGAGAAGCCTGCATAAATGGAAGAACATCCATGCTCAGAGAAGACTTAACCTTTTAAAAATGCTGATACTATGCAAAGAATAGTGAGCTCTGGTGGCCTACTGGTCAGGAGTTATGCTGGAAACCCCAGAGATACATAGTTCAATTTTTCCATCTCTCTGTGAGAAAAAGATGGACAATCTCCCCCCATGCACTTAATTGCCTCTGAACCCCCACTGGAGGGTCAGCTATGAGTCAGTTCTGACTTGACAGTATACAGCAACAACATGCAAAGGATAGCATAACAACCTATGTTATGCAGATGACACAATCTTGCTTGCAGAAAGTGAAGACTTTAAGCACTTTTTGGATCTAAGTCTACAGACTTCAAATATGGGTTACCTACACACACCAAAAAAAATTATATGTTACACCTCAGCATAAAAACCCACACCTCATGATAACATGATAAATGGAGAAGAGAGTGAAGTTGTCAATGATTTTATTTTACTTGTATCCACAATCAGCACCTATAGTATCAGCAGTCAAGAAATCAAAAGACAGGTTGTGTTGGGGAAATCTGCTCTCAGTGACCTCTCCAAAGTACTCAAGAGAAAGGATGTGAGTTTTAAAGAGTAAAGTATACTTGATCCAACCCATAATCTCTTCACTTGCTTCATATGCAAGTGAAAGTTGGACAGTGAATACCAAGGAAGACCCAAGTAGAATGGATGCCTTTGAGTTATGTTGTTGATGAAGAATACTGAATATCCCACAGACTGCCAAAAGAACAAACAAATATGACTTGGAGGAAGTATGACTAGAGTGCTTTCACGGGCAAGGATGGAGTATCCTTATCATTTCATTTATTTTGGCCATATTCTCAGGAAGAACCACTCTTTGGAGAGAGATATCATGCTAGGAAAGGTGGAAGGCCAAAGAGAGGAAGACCCTCAGCAGAGTGTATTGACACAGTGACTACCACAAAGGGCTTGAGCTGGACAGAAGATGTGAGGCTGGTACAGGACAGGGCATAGTTCACATCTGTTGTTTATAGAGTTATTATTAGTTATAATTGACTTCATGGCACCTAACAACAATATGCAAAGCAATCTATAAAGTTTTCCTAGGGAACTGAATCTCTTAATTTTCTATCAGAACCTGTGTTAACTTTAACAGGACACATCAGGATCAGGACAACTCTCCAACTTTTTCACCAATTCTTATACTAGTTGTTCTCACCATATTTTATACATCTCTGCTCAAGTGCAATAATTCATTGCAGTAGCCACAAACAACACTTAGACCATACTCATGATTATGGACTTTATTAGAAAAAGAACAGGCTACACTTTGGAATCAAAATCAGCTTGAAAGTTACAAGATACAAGTTAGGAGACTTTAATCAGGACAGTTTTGAAACAAAACAGTTCTCATCTTTTCCTTGTCCATGCTGGCCAGCTTTCAATCACTGGGCCTTGGTAGGCCCTATCTCTGCCACTGGACCTTCCTGAGCCTCTGCCCTACACTGACAAATGCGACAAGGCTTCTAAGGTGCTTTGGTGGCTTAGTGGTAAAGAGTTACACTGCCAACCCAAAGACACATGGTTCAAATGCACCAGCAGCCTCATGGAGAAAGATGAGCATTCTCTTCCTCTGCACCTCTGAAAGCCCAGTGGAGGATCAGCTATGGGTTGATTCCAAACTCAAAGTTGTATAACAATAACAACAACTCTTAGGCGGCCCGGGTGGCTTAGTGATAAGGAGTTGCCAAGCCAGAGACAAGTGGCTCGAATCCACTAGTCTCTTCCTGGGAGCTCAATGGGCAGTCTCCTCGCCTGTGATTTAGAGCCTCAGATATCCTATTGGAGGGTGAGCTGTGAGTCATCTTGGACTCAAAGGTACTTACACAGCAACAACCCAGCTCTTTTGGCTCTTCTATTTGTATCTGCTGGTATCATGGTCTTGGTGCTCCCTCTTAGTTGACTTCAGTGTTACAGTTCTTGGCCTGTGGTACAGCTCTTTTGTGGAGATTCCCTCTTTCTCAGTGCCTCTCTCTGAAAGCCTCTGTTAGATTGGCTGATTATGGAGCAAAGTTCCTATTGCCCTTCCAACCATACTACAAAGCAACCAGTCTCCTCCATATGGTCACGGTCCTTTTGGGTGGATTTATAAATTCTCTCTATATAGTAAACTGATCAGCCATTTCATGGTTTGCCAGATAGGCCAATCATAGGATATACTGTGGTCCAACCAATAATTTTTGGCAGAATAATAAAACCTAGGCCATAAATGCCTTATGTACAAGAACATTAACTGTACCATAAAGACAGAAATTTTGTTTACATTAGATATTTCCAGATTGATTTTGTTAGCTAAAGACATACTCTATACAATGTGATTAATTGTGACTATCTTCTGCGGAGCAGCTAGTGGATTTGAACTATGTCTCTTTGAGTTGGCAGGGTAAATCCTTACCATTAAGCCACCAGAGCACCCTAAAAGAGCTATAGCACTTGCCAATACAAGGCAGAATCTCACAAAGGTCCAGTGGCAGAGACAAGGCTAGGTGGTTGATTAATATATGACCATGTGGGTCATAACAAATTATGGCTAACATTGAGAAGAATGACAATCCCAGAACTCTTAATTGTGCTCATGCAAAAGTTATACCTACCAAGAAGCTGTCGTGTGAACAGAGCAAGGGAACACTACATGATTTAAAATCAGTAAAGTTATTTGTCAGGGTTGTATCTTTTCTCTGTACCTATTTAATCTGTGTGTTGATCAGATCATTCAAGAAGCTGGACCATATGAAGAAAAATGTGCATCAAGATAGGAAGAAGACTGGCTCATCAACAACCTTCATTATGCAAATGACACAGCCTTGCTTGCTGAAAGTGAGGACCTGAAGCACTGATTATAGAAAATCAAAGACTGTTGCCTTCAATATGGATTATATCTCAACACTCAGCAAACAAAAATTCTCACCATTGGACCAAAAAATAACATCATGATAGATTGAGAACAAGTTGAAATTGTCAGCAAATTCGTCTTACTTGGATCCACAGTCAACACCCAAAGTACAGGTAGTCAGGAGATCAGGAGATGTCTTGCACTGGGAAACTACAGTCAAGGATCTCTCCACAGTACTGAGTAGCGATGATGTCAGTTTGAAGACTAAGGTGTACTTTATTCAGGCCATGGTCTTTTCAGTCACTTGCTATGTATATGCGAGCTGTACAATGAATAAGGATGACAGAAGAATTAATTCTTTATGTTGTGGTGTTGGAGAAGAGTATTAAATATTCCATGGACTGCCAAAAGAACAAACATATATCTTGGAGAAGATGCAGCCACATTGCTCCCTGGAGCCAAGGATGATGTAATGTCATTGCACATATTTTGAGTATGTTGCTAGGAGAAGCTATTTCTTGGAGAGGGAGATGATGCTTGAAAAGGGTGGAGGGTTAGCTAAAGAGAGGAAGACCCTCAACTGATGGATTGACAGTTACTGTTGCAATGGGTTAAAGTATGAGAGATGTCAGAGATGATGAGGATGGCACAGGCTAGGACAGGGTTCAGATCTTTGTTCATAGGGCTGCTGTGAGTTGTACTCAACTCAGTGGGTACCTAACAATACCATGAACAAAAGTATATATAGTTGTTTAATAAAAGTAAATACAGTTGACTTTCATTAATGTAAAAGTAATTTTTTTTATTTCCAAATAATTTTAATGAGCATTTACAGAGATTTGGATTTCCATTCATTCATTGCTGCACTTCTCTCCCCGCCTAGCCCTCCCGCCACCCCAGCCCCCAGTTCGCTCCTCTCTTTCAAAAGTAAAAGAAACACTCTTTCCCTGGTACATAATCCCCCCCCACACCCCTCCCACCGCCCCAAGTACATTGCACTATGCAACCTTAATTGTGGACTCTTGTGATAACCATAATACCCTATCATACATTGCTTTTAAATTATTCACTCCCTCATCTGTTTCAGTGCAGTATACACAATTTATCCAGTTTTTCTCAGTCTTACCCCAACTCTGATATCAATCCCATTTTACAACAGTGGCACCTTGCAATATTTGTCCTTTTGCAACTGAGATATTTCACTCAGCATAATGTCCTCCAGGTCACCCATTTTGAATAATATTGCATGAGTTCCTTGTTTTTCAATGAAGCATAGTATTCCATTGTGTGAATATACCACAGCTTCTCTATCCATTAATTTGTTGATGGGTTGTTTCCAACTCCTTGCTATTGTGAACAGAGCCGCGATAAACATGGGTGTGCATATATCTGCTTGGATGTCAGTTATGGTCTCTTTGGGATATATTCCCAGTAGTGGAATTGCTAGGTCAAATGGTATCTCTATTTGCAACTTTTTGAGGAAGTGCCATACCACCTTCCACAGTGGTTGCACCATTTTACACTCCCACCAACAATGAATAAGGGTTCCAGTTTCTCCACAACCTCGCCAGCATTTGTTGCTTGCTGTTCTGTTAAATTTTGCTATTCTGACTGGTATGAGATGATGTCTCATAGTTGTTTTGATTTACATCTCTCTTAGAGCTAGGGATTTTGAACATTTCTTCATGTGCTTGTTGGCACATCTCAATGTCTTCTTTGGTGAAGGAGTAAATTTATTTTTAACTAAAGCTAACTTATATTTTTGTTTCTTTTTCAGTTGGCTCATGGATAACATGAAACATATATTGACACTAAATAAATCTATAATGGCATCACAGCAGGTAAATTGCACTTTCAGCTACTTTGCTCTCTCATGATTTCAGTAACAACGTCTTATTGGTAATTATATAGGGTTAAATGGTTTGACCAAAGAGACTGATCTGGTCTGAATATAATGTGCTTACGTTTTTCTCTTTTTCATGACTCCTTTATTTCTGACTGCTTTTGCTAGTTATCTACTTGTAGTTTAAGCTATTGTCTTCTCTCTTTTATTATGCAGAGAAAAAAAAGAATTAAAACCTGGTAGTTTTAGAGGACATGAATTAATACAATACAGTACAGTGATTTAAATGTTACAAGTTTATTCTTAACTAATATACTTTCTCTTTCATGTATTTTTTGTGATAATAGGAATCTTGGGACTTAGAAGAAAAACTGCTTGACATTAGAAAGAAGAGACTGCGTATGTAGAACACTTTGCTTTTTGTAGGACATGGGGGGGGGTTTAGCATTATTATTTTTTTTTTAATTAACTTTAATGAAAGCTTACAGACACTTTGGATTTCCATTCATTCACTGTTGCACTTTTCTCCTTGCCCACCCCCTCAGTTTGCTCTTCTCTTTGAAAAGTAAAAGAAAATAGTTCTTCCGTTGTTATACAGTCCCTCCTCCCAAGGCTACTCAACTATGCAGCCTTCATTCTGGACTGCAGGACATGTTTCGTGGAACCTTTGTTGTGGAGATTAATGCAGATCTCTCAGCCAACAAGGCATTTTTTCATTTTCAAAATTTCTGAAAATGTTAGATGTTTAAAAAATTTTTAAAGTAAGACATAACAGATATTTTTACTTTGTTTTTGTTGTTTTAAAATGTTAAATCATGGCCGCGGCCGCCATTTTACCACAATAAAGAAGCTTTCAGCTGCAGCGAAAAAAAAAAAAAAAAAATTAAATCATTAAATTTTTTACATCTTCAATGGGAGTAAAACTCAATATCAAAAAGTATATGAAACTCATGCCATCTTCCTGTGTGACTGCAGTTTTCACCATTTCTGTATTTATATACACACAGTGGGTGCATAATGATTCTACGTATTCTTCACATAATTTATTACAAATATGAAATTTTTTTTTGCATTGAAATTATTGAAGTATTTAACAATATTTGTAGGATTTCTTATTTTTAATACTGCACTAATTTATTTGTGAACAAGCATTCTCAGTCATCTGCTCTTGTAATTTTTTTATCTCCCTTTTAATGTTAAATTTTTTTCTATTTTATTCCAAACTAATATATTACACTTGAAACATACCCATTTATATTTTGGAAGTGTATAATTCTTAGACCATTCTAGGAAATAGAATAATATCAATTGATGGTATTTAGTTTTGAAGAAGGTAATGTCATTTTTGTAACCAGAAAGAAAAAAAATATTTCCTTATATTTCCTGCTTATTCTTTTGGCAGCTTTTTTAAGTCTTCTGCCACAGGATATCATCACTTGTCATCATCTTATCAACCTCATTGTCATACAGGAATACCTTGAACTTGTAACTTGTATAATTGTCATCCATAACACCTTCAACATTTTATAGATGGTATTGTTAAGTACAAACAGTTCCTAGGTTATGACTGTCCAATTTAAGTACAACCCATAGTTATGAACCCTCATTAAGCCTCCTGTGTTAAGACTTCAAGACATATACAATAGTTCATAATAACAAACAGGCGCTATCTGTGATGCAGATAAAAACATTATATTACTGTATTATTAGGTTGAAGATGTTCTAATATATCTAAAAGTATTTCTTTAGAGATTTTAAATGTAGAAAGCTACATGGTAGGCTATTCATTGTTGTTACTGTTAGATGCGATTGAGATTAAGTTTACTCTGCTCATAGGAACCCGGTTGTGTACAACAGTTTTAAACCTTGCTGGCTCTTTACAATCTCTGCTGTGTTCAAGTCCATTGTTGTAGTTACTGTGTCAGTCCATTGTTTTGAAGGTCTTCCTTTCTTTCATTGACCATCCACCTTCCTAAGAATGATGTCCTTTTCCAGAGATTGGCCCTTTCTAACAACATGTACATGAGATCAGTTCTCACCATCTTTGCCTCTAAAGAGCACTCAGGGTGCACTTCTTCCAAACCAGATCTGTTGGTTCTCTGCAGTCCATGGGATATTCAGTACTCTTTGCCATCATCACAATTCAAAAGTGTCAGTTCTTTGGTCTTCCTTATTCATTTTCCAACATTCAAGTGCATGTGAAAAAATTGAAATTACGATGGCTTGCATCAGATGTACCTTTAGTCTTTAAACTAATATTCTCTCCCTTTAACACTTTAAAGAGGTCCTTGACAGCAGATATGTCTAATACAACACATCTTTTGATTTCCTGACATCTTTCAAACCATGCAGTATCCTTTATTCTGTTCAGACGGCTGTTGACAGGTCTATATGCTTGTTTCACATGAGCCAAATTAAGTGTTCTGGATTTCTATTCTTCTCAAGATTGTCCATAATTTATGAGCCACACAGTCAAATGTCATTGCATGGTCAATAAAACACAATTTGACTGTATGAAACACCAATTTTGGCTAACCTTGAGAAGGTTGGGGATCCCAGAATACTTAATTGTGTTTATGTGAAACCTATACTTGGCCCGGGAAGTAGTAGTCAGAACAGAGCAAGGAAACATTGCATGGTTCAGGATCAGGAAAGATGTGTGTCAGGGATGCATCCTACCTTTATACCTTTTCAATCTATATGTGGAACAGATCATTCAAGAAGCTGTGGTCTATAAGGAGCAATGTAGCATCGGCATTGGAGGAAGATTTATTGACAACCTACATTATACAGATGATACAATCTTACTGACAGAAACTGAGGAGGATCTGAAATATGTGCTGCAGAAGGTGAAGGACTATAGTCTCCAGTATGGATTGAAGTTCCCTATCAAGAAGACAACAATTCTCACCACTGGGCCAATTGGCAGCATCATGATAGATGGAGAAGATATTGAGATTATTAACAGTTACAGCTTGCTAGGTTCTACAATCTTGACACCAGCAGTCAGGAAATCAAAAGACTAATTGGATTAGGAAAATCTGCTGTCATTGACTTCTCTAGAGTACCGAAGAACAACAATGTCAGTCTGGAGACTAAGGTGCTCCTGATCGAGACTATGGTCTTCACAATTATTTGCTATGCATTTGAGAGCTGGGCAGTGACTAAGAATGATAGAAGAAGAATTGATGCCTTTGAGTTGTGGTGCTGGAGAAGGGTGTTAAACGTACAGTGGGCTGTCAAGAGAACAAATAGGTCTGTCCTGTAGAGGGTGAAACTAAGCTGCTCCTTGGAGACAAGGGTTTTGAAACGCTGTCCCACATACATTGGGCCAGGAGTGACTAGTCCTTGGAAGACATCATGGTTGGAAGTGTGGAGGGACAGTGCAGAAGAGGAAGACCCTAGATGAAATTTATTGATGCTGTTCTGGGGGTAATGGGATTAGATACGTAATTAGGAGACAATGAGACTGACTTAGGGCAGGGTTCAGAACTATTGTACATAGGATTGCTATGAGTTGCAGGCAACTCGATGGCACACCAGGACAACAAACATCTTTCTGATAGTCTGTTTTCAGCCAAGATCCACCTGATATCAGCAATGCTGTCCTTTATTCCTTAGCTTCTTCTGAATATCGTTTGGATTTCTAACAATTGCCCGTAGATATACTGCACCAACTATCTTAATAATGTTCAGCTAAATTTTACTTAGATATGCTATTAGTGATATTGTTCAATAATTTCTGCATTTTTTAAATTCTTATGCAACAATGAATGAATTTTTTTTTTAAAAAAGTTAACTGGGGAGAGTAGGGAGGAAAGTGTGCAACAATGAATGAATGAATGAATGAATGAATGAATGAATGAATGAAAATCCAACTTTTCTGTAAACTTTTGTTAAAATCACAATTTAAAAAGGGGGGGGGGGATAAGGTTCTTACCCAGTCAGTTGACCAGGTAGCTGTTTTCCAATTTTTTCACATGTATGAGTAATTTCATGTCCAGAGCTGCATCTCTTTTTCTGGAACACATCAATTCAGTTATTTTTTGCCAATGTTTTCAGTGCAGCCTGTACTTTTTCCTTTTTGATTTTTCATCATATGCTACTTACTGACATGGCTCTGTGTTGACCAGGTTTTTTTTGGTACAGTGACTGTATTCTTTCCATCCTTTTCCCCCCCCCTCCCTTGTTGGGTGCCTTCAAATCAGATCCAACTGTCACGGAGGAGATTCCCTCTTCTACTCCAGCAGACCATCTGGTGGATTCATACCATGGGCCTTCAGAATTGCAACACAGCTTCTTGCCACTAGGCCACCAGAGCTCCCTTCTTTCTGTCTTCTTTTGATGCTTCCTGAGTCATTTGATATTTTACCTATGGAATCTTTCAGTATTGCAAGTAAAGACTTAAATTTGTCCTTTAGCTTTTTTTCACTTGAAAAATGCAGTGTGTTCTTCTCTTTGGGTTTTCTAACTCTGAGTGTTTGCACATTTCATTGTAATTTTTTGCTTTGTTGTTTTATGCTACCCTTTGAAATATTGTGTTTGGCTCTCTTATTTCATTATTTCTTTCTTTTGCTTTAGCTTTTCTTCTGACATATTTTGGGTTTATTCTTTCTTTGCTGTCCTTTTAATATCTTTTTTACTTTTTGCATATATTGTGTCCTTGACATCATCCCACAACTTGTCTGGTTTGATTTTATTTTGGTTCTCAAGGACTTGTTTTAATTTTTTTTCACCTTCACTTTGAATTTGCATGTGAGCAGTTGATGTTCTGTTCCATAGTTGGCCACTGGCCTCCTTTTAACTGCTGATACTGAGCTTGTCCACCGTCGTTTTTTCCAACAGATGTAGTCATTTTATTCCAGTATATTCAATCAGATGAGATTTGTATGTATGGACACCATTTATGTTTTTTAAAAAAATATTTCTTAAAAAAAAAAATTCTGTAAAAATATAGGGAGCGCTGGTGGCCTAGTGGCAAGAAGCTGCATTGCAATCCCAGAGGTACGCAGTTTGAATCCACCGGATGCTCTGCTGGAGAAGGAGGAGCAGTCTCCTCCTGTACTAGTCAGATCCGATTTGACAATACACACACACAAAATAATAAAAAAAATTAAAAGAATAAAGTTATATGCAATGAGTAGGTCTCCTGCTGAACAAAATTTTGCCAAGTGATTTTTGGGCTCATTTTTGCTGCCAAGACCATATTTTCCAACATTCTTTTTTTTCCAGGTTTTCAATCACCAATTATTATTAGTGTCTCTAGAGTGCATTTTCAATCAGTTTTGGCCTAGGATTTCAATTGATAAAAATCCTTTATTTCTTCATATTTGGCTTTAGTGATTGGTGCATATATCTGAATAACAGTCATGACATGTCTTGGATTCTTGGATGAGTATGTTTATTCTATTACTGACAGCACTGTATTTCACAATGGATCTTGAAATACTCTTTTTTATGATGAAGTCAACACCATTCCTCTTCAATTTGTCATTCCCAGCATAGTAGAGCACATAACTGTCTGAATGGCCAGTACTAGTCCATCTCAGCTACCTAACTGCACAGGATCGATATTGAATATTCCATTTCATTTTTGACAACTTCAGTTTTTCTAGATTCCTACTTTGTACATTCTGTGCTTCAGTTTTTAAGGGATGTTTGCAGCTGTTTCTTCTCTTTTTGAGTCTTGTCACCTCAGTAGTGAAACGCCTTCATTAGGTGAAAGCTTTGCTCCATCCACATCATTAAAATAGATGCTACTTTGAGGTACAACTCTTCCGCAGTTATATTTAGAATGCCTTCTAGACTGAGGGGCTCCTCTTCCAGCACTGTATTGAACTGTGTTCCACAGGTATTGATAGATTTTTTTGAGAACCCATTATTTCAGAGGTAGTTGGCCAGTCCTGCTTCTTACTCTGTCCCAGTCTGGCAGCTTCCTGAAATCTGTCTGCCACGGTTGACCCTGCTGACATTTGAAACACCAGTGATTTGGCTTTTAGCATCATAGCAACACACAAGACACCACAGTACGGAATACTGACAGATGAATGGTATCAGTACTCTACAGTATGTTAAAAGAGACATTTCATTGAAAAATGGGAACTGACAAATAAATTTTACTTTGAGGTGGATTTAGGAACAAAATTGTTTTATAATCTGAAGATTACTTTTATCAACTAAAAACACTGGCATTGTCAGAATAGTTATTTTCCAATTAATATAGGATTACAGCTTAAAATGATAATTATTTAAAAATAATGAAAAGGTGCAACAATGAATGACTGAAAATGCTAAAAAATATATAGTATCTTTTCAAATATTTAAGTATTTTACTGCTACAGCAACTAAATGAAAATACAAATATCAGCATCTATGAACAATACATTTTTATTCTTTTTCATAAAAAAATTTTATAATCAATACACAAAAAAATAATGAAAAGGGGGGAAAGTAATTTCTCTGATTAAAAATTTTGTCTACTGAAATAACCGGGAAATGCTGATTAGTTTTTCAAGAATTCATGTAAGTTTTATATGTAGTATGTTGGTTTTTTCTTCTTTATCTAACAGAATTAAAACAAGCTTCACAAAGTAAGTTTTTAGAAATTCAGACTGAAAAGAACAAACAGAAGAAGGATATGGAAAGTATGGAAAATTCTGATAGGATAAATGCCATACAACAAGAATTACAGGCAGAGATAAAAGTTGCTACAGTTGTTCAACATGTGTTCCAGGTAACATTTAATTCTAGAAACAAGAAAAGGAGATAGAGAACATTTAAAAAATAATTGATATTTAAACTATCAGTTTACTTTTATTTATTAATATATTTATTCTTTGATCTTAAAAAGGTAATTCTGTGCTGAATATTGATCTGTTATTTACATAGATCTGGAATGCAAGCATACTGAATGTTTAAAACCTAGATCTTTCATGGTGGTTAGATATTATTGTTGAGTTTCGGAGCTGGCAGTCTGACTTGGACTCATAGCGACCCATGAACAACAGATCTGAACTGTGCCCTGGACCCCTCATCCTCATGATCTCTGTCATGCTCAATCCCATTGTTGTGCTTACTGTGTCAGTCCATCTAGTTGAACCTTTTCCTCTCTTTCTCTGACCTTCTGTCTTTCCCAGCATCATGCCTTTTTCCACAAACTGGCCCCTTCAGATAATATGTGCATTATATGTGAGGAGGTATTTCACCATCCTTTTCTGTGAGAAATGTCTTGGTTGCACTTCCTCCAAGATTGTTCTTTTGGCCGTCTATGAGATATTGTCTTCTCTAACATCACAGTTCAGAGGCTTTGATTCTTTTGTCATCTGTATTCATTCTCCAACATTCAGAGCATAGGAAGCAATTGAAAATACCATGGCTTGCATAGGTGCACCTTAGTCTTTAAACTGACTTCCTTCCATTGTGTTGATCAAAATATTACATAGTAATAGCCTGACACCATTTAGGTCTTCTGGTCTCAGGCAAAGGAGCCTGTTATTGACAGCAGTTAGCTATATAATCCATTACCTCCTATTCCTCACTCTTTTCCTTCCTCTGTTGCTCCAGACATCTAGAGGCTAACTGATATGGTTTGGGATAACCACTTATCAGATAAAAGATCTCAAAGATTAGCTGAAGAAGACAAAGCAAAATACTATAACAAAATCTTCAAAGAGCCAGAGCTAGTAAATAAAAAGGAAGAATATACTTAGCATTTTTCAAACTGAAATAACTAAAAAACAAGTTTAAGTCTCGAGTTTCAATACTGAAGGACCCTATGAGCAAAATCTTGACTGATGGAAGAAGCATCAAAAGAAGATGGAAGGAATACATAGGCACTGCACCAAAAAGAATTGGTCGGCACTGAAACTTTAGAGGAAATAGCATATGATCCAGAAACAATGGTAATGAAGGAAAAAGTTTAAACTACACTGAAGGCATTGGAAAAAAGTAAGGCCCTAGGAATTGAAGGAATACCAATTGACATGTTTCAACAAACAGATGCAGCCCTTGACTTGCTTTGCTCACTTTTCTGTGCTAAGAAATTTGGAAGAAAGCTATCTGGCTACCTGACTGGAGAAGATCCATATTTATTCCTAAAGATCTATCCAAATATGGAAATTCTCAAACAGTAGTAGTATTATCACAAATAGTATTTACTATCACAAGTAAAATCTTGCTGAAGGTTATTTAAAAATGACTGGAGCCGTACATCAACAGAGAACTACCAGAAATTCAAGCAGTTAGATTCAGAAGAGGCCATAGCATGAGGGATATCATATAGATCTCAATTGGAAGCAGAGAAAAGCAGCAAGTTGTACATTTTTGTTTTACGGATGATGTAAAGGCATTCTACTGTGTGAATCATAGCAAATTAAGGCTATCATTAAGAAGAATAGTAATCCCAGAACACTTAATTGTGCTTATATGGAATCTATACATAGACCAAGAGGAATTTGTCTCAACCAAACAAGGAAACATTGCACGGTTTAAAATCAGAAAAGATGTGTATCAGTGTTGTATCCTTTCTCCATACCTATTAAATCTGTATGCTGAGCAAATCATACAGCATTGGAGAAAGACTAATTAACAACTTGTGTTATGCAGATGATGCAACCTTGCTTACTTGGAATGAAGAAGACTTGAAGCACTTGTTGCAGATCAGACTACAGCCTTCGATATAGGTTGCATCTCAACATCAAGAAAACAGAAATCCTCACCATCAAGCAACATCATGATAGATGAAGAAAGAAACTGAGATTGTCAATAATGTTACCTTACTTGGATCTACAATCTATAGTGGTAACAGTAGTCTAGAATCTCTCAAATGTGCTAAAGAGCAATTGTACCAGTTTAAAGATTAAGGAGAACCTGATCCAAGCCATGATCTTATGATCTTTTCAAGCAATAAACATGTTTTTATTATTTTACTTGTTAAATGTTTTTAAGTGAGTGAAAGTTTACAAATAATACTAGCTTTTCAATCAATCATTCATAAACTATTTTATACATAATTATAGTTGATTAATGTAAATATTAAACTACAGTGTCTGATCAATCTTTTATATTCCCTTTTCTTTCACTCAGTTTTTTTCTCTTTGTTAGTATTTACTCAGCTATCCCTCGCTTCCGATCCCTGCTATTAAAAACAACTGTAAAAAAAAAACCCGCAACAACTGTAGACAGCATGATAATGGCTGAATCTGACCTCTGCTTACGAAACTAATTCCTGTAAGATCAGACATGGTCTCCTACACTCCAGCACCTACTTCTATCAATTTCAGCACAAGTCTTACTGCTCTACTGGGTCCAAAATCCATTGCAATGACTACACAGACTTTATAGAACCACACGCGTGATTATGGGGTTAGGAAAGTGAACAGATTAGCAACAAGATACAACCGTTCAATCCACACAGCTTCTTAGGCATGTCTGCAGGCTTTATGACTGTCAGCCTTACTTTTTAAGTCAGTGTTACCTGGTTTCCTTAGTCCTGCCAGTAATGAAATCTTCCCTCAGTCTTTTAGCAAGCTTAGATGAAGGCTTCTAGCTCTAGCTTCTTGAGGCAGCCTTCCCAAATCAGTTCTGTGTCATGGTACTCTTTGATTGAGGCTACTGTTGCTCTTATGTAGATTTCAGTCTAACTTGTGCAGAAATTTCTTGCCCCAAAAGATGTGCCTGCTGCTTCTTCCTTGTTGATTTTGAGATTCTCAAATGCAGCTGTTGAGTCCACTCAATTTAATGGTAAAACTAGCCAGTCACCTTATGGATAGACTAACACACCCTGTTTGTATGATTCTGCCCATCCACGAGGCGAAGTCAATGGCTAAGAATGCCATTTTGAATAATAAATCCTTAATACCATACCTGGTAAACAGAAGACATTGTATTAGTCACTTAACTAACATCTTCCGGAAACCATTGACCCTGAAACTCCATGGAACCAAATTTCATAAGGTGCTTTGTTGTACATAAGCAGCCTGAACAGATTTTTTTTCTTGTTACAGCTATCATACAGGTTTTGCCAACTCATCTTTTTATACACCCTGCCATTATTCAGTACAACTTTTCTATCACCATAAACCCAAATTTAGTGAAAGATGTCTTTTTAAAGCTTGTTAAATTTTTTTTATAAAATACTTACGACTTTCTTTTTTTCATTACAGAACATCATTTTGGGGAGTAAAGTCAATTGGGCACAGGATGATGCCTTAAAGGAAATTGTTTTCCAACTTGAGAAGAATATCACCATGCTATAAGACTGCTACTTTAGCATTTTTTAAAATCTTTGATAGGTCATTTAAATAGTAAATTTCAAGTGAAAATATATTTCCAGTACTTTTAAAACTGTTCTAATACTGCATCTTTTTTTAAAGCTTGAATTTTCACTATAAACTTACAATCTTTTTTTAAGGATGACTTTTTTCAAAGTGAATGGAATTCTATCAGGAATCTGAAAATATTGGGAAAGAGTAAAGAGTTCTAATCCAACCTTCCATTGAGTGTGGACATTTTTTTTTGGCAACATTTCTGTCAGGCCCAGCCCTTATAATATTACGTGCATTTGCTTGTCAAGTATAAATATTTTAGAAAAAATATCCAAAGTGTTTCAGTTGTGGCCATGTATAGTGGTACTATTTTTTTTTTTCTTTGCCATCTATTTGTAACTAACTCAGCTTATCCCTGCAGTATAGATTTTCAGAGGCTGAAATTGCATGAGAGGAGAGTTCCCATCTTTCTCCCTCTGAGCATGTGGGGGACTCAATCTGCCTGCCTTTGGGTTGGCAGTGCAGCTTCTTACAAAGCCAGAAAAGCACCTCTGTAGTGATGTTATGGGTATCTTTTAAAAGATTTTAATATTGAGTATGTATGACTTTTCATACATTTCCCTGATGGCTAATGATAGAGCCAAAGAAGAAGAAATAGATGATTTCTACCAACTTTTACAGTCGGAGATCAATCGAACATGCAATCAAGATGCATTGATAATAATGGGTGACTGGAATGCAAAAGTTGGGAACAGAGAAGAAGAATCAGTAGTTGGAAAACATGGGCTTGGTGACAGAAATGAAGCTGAGGGTAGAATGATTGAATTTTGTACAATCAATGACGTACTCATTGCAAATACATTTTATAAGAAACATAAACGCAGGTTATA